CCCCTTCCTAACGCCTTGTTCTGTGGCAGCTGTCCCATGGAAGGTGAAGTGGCAGTCGATCGTCTCGTGGAGACCCCCCCAAATGACGGGGACGCCCGGGAGGTGCCAAAAGAAGATGAAAACGGAGTGGAGGGAGCAGCAGCCGCAGAGAAGCTGGCTGTGAGCAGGGGGACGGGGGACAGCCGTGTTCCCCCGGGATGTCTGCGGCCGGACCAGGACACGACACGCTTGGACCGCAGGGACGGTGAGTGCTGGGGGTGACGGGGCGGTGGGAGCCAAGACGGGGCATGCACGAACCCGGGACCCTGCAGCGTCTGTCGCTCTGTAAACTGGGATTAACGTGCCCTCCATCCTGGGGATTGGGGTGCACGCGGGGTGCTTGCCGTGCCGGTTGGGTCTCGTGCCGTTTGTGGAGCCCAGCCTGCTCCCCAACAAGCAGAACTGAGGTCCCTAATGGCCGCCCTTGTTTTGTAGGTGGAAGAGACGCTCTCCCGAAACCCTCGACTGCCTCGATGGACAGGCAGAGGAGCACCGAGCTCTTGGCCCTTGACAGTGAGTGATGCAGAGCCTGGTGCTCACAGATGCTCAGGTGCAGCCTCAGCGGGAGACAGGTGTGGGAGAGGTCATCTGGATCTCTCATCCCACAAAGGCAGCTAGAAAAAAGTCTTTTTCTGCTGCCACTCCCTCCCACAATGTGGCAAGGCCAAGTCCAAACCCAGACCCTGGTGATGACTTGTGCCAGCAGTGAGAGGTCACTGCAGCTCCACGCAGTGGAACTGGAGATGGCAAACTCTTTTCATATACTTTCCTAATTAAACTGCGAATCGCTTGTTGAAAACACATTGAGATTTCCAAGTGGAGATCTTCAAGGGGAGGAAATATGAGGATGAACTTGAGTGCATCCCCCAGGCTGTCCTCTGCAGTATATCGTGTGCAATTATGTCATTAATGCCAGATCCCTGCCTCCTGCGGTGCCCCAGATGGACTCTGCCCCTCCTTGGGCAGCTGTTCGGGCTGTTTTATCTTCCCTGCTCAGCTGTTGGTCCCTGTGCACTGGTCAAACCTCAGCCTCCAGGCTCTTTACTTGCAAGGGAATAACTCCTTTTTTGCAGGACTCAGTTTTTGCCAGGGACAGGAGGGAACAGACGCTCTTGGCCTCAAGTCAGTGTTGTTCCTCCCTGTGCACAGAGGAGACATGCCCTGACTCTCTCCTCTCTCTGGAACAGGTTTCCCCCTGAAGCACACAAACACACTGACGAACAGGCAGCGAGGCAATGAGGTCTCAGCCCTCCCAGCCACGCTGGACAGTGAGTACCACCGGGCAGAGCGGGGCTGCGCATCTCAGACGCAGATGCGTATGGGTTGTAGGGGGAACAGAGGGACAGCAGGGCTGGAGCCTCTGTCTCCTGCTGCCACGCTGTTCAGTGTCCACTGGGGCAGTCTCTCAGGTTGCTCCCTCCAGTGCTGTTGCTCTCAGCACTTGCCGTGGCTGGCTGTCCCCACTGCTGAGCGGCAGAAGGGTGTTACACTTCGGGCTTTTGGGGGCTTAGATGGGGGCTGGCCAGTTACCACCTCGCCAGGCTTGCAGGGACCCACTTGCAGATGGTGGTTGCTGAGCTGGGGAAACATTTTGTCCTGATGGGTGAATTCTTTCTATCCCCCCAGCATTGTCCATCCACCAGCTTGCTGCCCAAGGTGAGCTCAGCCAGCTGAAGGAGCATCTTCGGAAAGGTACATCTCTTTGGGTTCTGACCCCAGATCATGCAGAGTCCTGCCAGGTCACAGCACTCTCTTTGATAAACCCACAGCTTAGTTTTACAGCCTTTGCTGGGTTTACTGGGAGGACAGGGAGCAGAGAAGGCTTTACCCTTCCTATTTACAATGTCTCATCCATGTTTGTGCAGGCGAGAACTTGGTAAATAAACCTGATGAGAGAGGTTTCACACCGCTGATCTGGGCTGCAGCCTTCGGAGAGATTGAAATGGTCCGTCACCTGCTGGAATGGGTAAGGCCACGCTCACACAGCACCTCGTTAACAGGAGATGTCCCATCTCCAACCCTGGTGGCTGCCAAATTGTCCAGCACTATCCTGGTACCATCTCAGCTGATCTTTCCCATGGCACCAAACAAGACACGTTTGCAGAGCTAATGGCTCAGACACTGTCGGATGCTACTCCCCATTGGGCTGTGAGCTAAGTCAGGAGCATGAAGAGCCTTATCTCACAGTTAGCAATAACTGTTTGTAATTAAATATCTGCTTATTGGTAATTTGAGATCAGGCTTATCACTTGGGCCCTGTAATCTGCCAGCAAATGTGCTCGCCGAGGTATCGTTGCAGTTAATGAACTCATTGCTGCATCGTCCTTGAGTGTCAGGCTTGCAGTTGAGGACTGTCGGGGGATGAGCAGGAACCAGATCCCCCTGCAGTCTGGATCAAGCTGCTCCCCAAAGCTCAGTCCCACATCCACATGTGTCCGGTGATCAGCAAATGCTCACGCTACAAGCGCTGGCCAAACTCTGGCTCTGTTACTGTATTAGCAGCAAAATTGCAATGCATTACCAGAGAGAAACAGAACCTAAAATAAATGAGGTGAGACATTGATAAAGGCCATAATGAAATCCAGGAGAGGTCTGTGGCTGGCAGGGCTTGGAAGACAGGGAGGTTTTCTAGGTAAATCAGTAACAAAAGAGATGGTGGGTACTGTACAGGCATCTAGACAGGGCTGGTAGCACTGCTACTAGTCATGGGAAAAAGGGCTGAGTAACAGGAACCATCATGCTTAGTTTACTGACACTGCAGAAGGGCTTTTAAGCCCTCACCCAAGATGTTTGGTTATGATTAAAATATGCCCAGTAAGGATTTTGGTAAAGGAGAGGTCACTGGGAACACGTGAGCCATCTCTGCCCCATGAGGCTGTCAGGACCTGGCTCCATGATCAGCCCCCCTGGGGTACCCAGCCTGTGCTGAGTGCCTCAGGTCTCAGCAGGGCTCCTTCACTCATCGGGGCTAATGCCTGTGCCGTCCCCAGGGCGCTGACCCCCACGCGCTGGCGAAGGAGCGGGAGAGCGCCCTGTCCCTGGCCAGCATGGGTGGCTACACCGACATTGTCATCATGCTGCTGGAGAGGAACGTGGATATCAACATCTATGACTGGGTGAGTGCCGCTGGGTGCAGGCTGCCGCTGCAGGGATCACGCCAGTGCTGGGAGCGACACCAAGCCCCGGATGGGGCTCCGCAAAGCTCCTTTTAAAAAGCAGCAGCGAGTTCACATCATTCTGGGCTGAGTTAGCAGCAATGCTTTTCTCCTAGATGCTTCCCAGGCTCACAGCACTCGTTTGCCTGCTCATGCAGTTGTTTTGAGAAATTGATCTGAATAATAATTTTAAATGGTTTCCTCAGTTGTTCACACTGGTGATGTTACCAGCCACAAGGAAACAGCGCTCAGAACCTAAGGTTGTCTTTAAAATTACACAATTTAAAAGTTACTGTATGGCATACAGAGAATAAAACCTGCGCAGAGCTGCTCTGCAAGAAAACACCCAGTCCAGAGCTGGGACAGGGCAGAAAGGGGATCCCAGTGGGTCGGGGACCTACTGCTCCAGGAGAAGCAGGAGCTGCATGAGCGCGGCCCTGTGCGAAGCCAACAGTGACACAGCTCCTTCCCTTTCCCTGCAGAACGGTGGCACTCCTCTGCTCTACGCCGTGCGCGGCAATCACGTCAAGTGTGTCGAGGCCCTACTAGGTAACGGGGAAGATCTGCATTTAGTCCTTGGCCTCAAATCTCTGCTCGTTGGTAACCGCCTTGGGGACAGAGCGTGACACGCCTGGGGGGAGAAACTGAGCAGCCCTCCAGCCATGGGGGGCTGCCCAGCCAGGACGGGCACCTTTTTTGGGGTCCCCTCACCCTGTGCCTGACCCAGAGGGGATGCCACATCGGCAGAGAAGTGCCGTGCCCTGATCTCCACTGCCTGCTTGCAGCTCGCGGCGCAGACCTGACGATGGAGGCAGATTCTGGCTACACCCCGATGGATCTGGCCGTGGCCCTGGGACACAAGAAAGGCAAGTGTCCCCTCCATGTCTGGCAGGGACCCCTGCCTTCCCTCCCCAAAAAGCCTCCAGGCAATTCCCAGCTTCCAGCCCTGCTTGGGGCTTTCTTTGACCTTCCACCACAGCTCCCTGCTCTGCCACATAGAGAAACTAAGCCAGAGAAATCAAGATGGGTCCTGTTCCCCTTGCTCCTGCTCCCAAACCAGAGCTGTGTTGGCGTTAGGGATGGGACAGGGGAGATGTCCCCTGGAGACAGGGGTTTTCCAGCCTTCCACTGGAAAATGGGAGCAAAATGGTGACCAGGTCCTGCCCACAGCAGCACTGGCTTCTCACCGGCTTGGCTACCCTGGGTTTCACTTCTCTCCCCTCCGTTAGTCCAACAGGTTATTGAAAATCACATCCTCAAGCTATTTCAGAACAAGGAGCTAGAGTGACATGGCAGCTCACACTGCACTGCTGCAGCACCAGCGCTTCTCCTGGCTGACACAGGGCTCTCTTCTGGGACCAACGTGGCCTCACCCAGCCATCCCAAAACGGGCAGCAGCACGATGCTTCGAGCAAGGAGCATGCGGAGAAAGTCGGGAACTGCCTGCCCTCACTGGATCTATGCCTCTCCTGGAGGGTGGCACAGCCACAGTGCCTCGCACGCTGGGACACTCGTTTCTCATGGCAGCTGCATTTCTGCGCTGTCTGGGCTCAGCTGCTTTGTCCGTGTGCGCATTCAGGTATTGCATTATTGGAAGTAAACTCTAAAGCAGCCGTGTGGAGCCTTGTCCATTGCCTTGGCCTGTCACAGCTGCCAGTCCCCGATCCCAGCAGCAGCTACTGGGGAACCGCGAGGGGAACTGGGCCAACCAGCCTCTTCAAGGCCTGCACCCCGCCAGTGCCCTCTCTAGAGCTGCCTCTTTGAAGAGGGAAGTTCTGTCTTACACCCATAATCTTGCCAAGCCCTCCCTGCACTCAGCACTATAACCAGCCAGGGAAATATCCATAGGCAGGAGCAAAACCCTGCAGGAAGCATCACCCTGCCAGCCAGGAACACGGCACGGCCCCGGCCGACAGCTGGCACGCTGCAATCCCAAGCCGGAGCCCCGCGAGGCCACAAACAGCCGCTCCAAGAAGTTCAGGGGTGGTTAGCAAAGGTGAGAGACAGCCAGAGCCCACAGCACATGGAGGGGGCACTTCTCCTCTCTCCTGCTCAAGCCATGCACTGGCTTTGCCATGGCAAACCCTGAAGGGCTCCGTCCCGGGGTGGCACTTGCCCAAGGAGCAGCCGGGAAGGAGCTGGGACACCTTTTATTCAGCTGGTTACACAAGCTGTGTCCCACCAAAGGCTTGGAAGTCCAGCACATGGATCTCTGCACTGGTGTCCCTCTGTCACTGCCATCCCGTGGGGCTGGGGGTCCCCTCTCAGAGCCTTGGGGTGGAATTGGGGGCAGCACATCCCTGCTGGCGGGATTTGCTGTCCCGTTTCCCCCTACGCAGCAGAGTCCCTGTGGGGGAACGCGGGTGATGGGAGAGCGGCCCCCCACGCTGTCCCTCACCATTGCCCTAGAGCCTCTCCCCCAGCACCCCGAGGTGGTACACCACGATCCTCCCGAAGAAGTCAGTGCTGTTCTCAAAGGTGATCTTCAGCTTATCCAGCACCATCTCCTCCACCTGGAATCTGTGCAGGGCCCGTAAAGGAGAAAAATAGGCAGGGGGATACCATGACATTTGGGAGACCTGCTCTGGGGGGGCCCACGTGGGGCTCGCACCCCGGTGCACTGTAGCCAGTGATGTCCGGATTTGCTCCAGCTCCGCTGAGTTGCTTTAGTGGGAGCAAAGTGCCAACAAGCACCCAACAGGTCTGTTGTTTAAATTGCAGCTCTGCCATTGCCCCCCCACCCCTCCACAGCCGCGGGTGGCTCTGAGCCCACCCGCCAAGCCGTTCGACCCAGCCCGCAGCACAGCAAAGGATATCTGCATGGCGTTGATGTCCTCGGGGTACAGGTCAGATATTTTCACCAGTTCTTCACCTGCTCTGCAGCCTGCGGAGGGCAAGGGTGGAAGCAGCCGTGCGGAGGCTCACGTGATGGGGGAGACGCCAACGGCTGCCACGGCCTCGGCTGCCCCAAAAATCTTCCCTGCCTTGGCTCTGCTGCAGGGCTGGCAGCAGTGGTCCATCTAAAGGACCAGGTTCCCATCTGCACCCAAAGTGTCCTGGAGAACTCCAGGTCCTTGGTATTCACCCCTCTCTGCTCCAGCCCACGGCCTCAGCCTCTCTTGGGTTTCAGGAACGCTAACAAATACCTCTGGGCCTCACAACAAACAGCTGTGGGATCCAGGTGTGGGTAAACTGAGGCAGAGGGACCCTCGTGCCCCCCAAACCAGCTCCTTACCTTCCAGCGTGCATAGCCGGCTGGAGAATCCTCCCTGGAACTGGATGTGGAGCTGTGAGACCTTGACGGTGCGAGGGAAATCCAGGGTGACCCACTGGCACGTGCCCTGAAGGCAGGAATGACACCAGGGCTCCGTCACGGTGGGGAGAGCGGGGCGTTCGTCATGTGCACGGCTCCCGTCCCACCCTTCTGTCTTCCCCCATCCTCATCCCCCCACCTGGTCTGAGTTCCAGCATGTCTCCTCATTCGTGTCGAACATGTGCTTCTTTCCAAACTGCTTCACATCCCGGTTAAGCACGGAGCTCACCCTGCAGGGACACGTGCCACCATCCCGGGGACGCGATGGGGATGGTGTCAGCGATGGGACACGTGTCCCCCACAGGGCCAGGGGACAGCATGTGGCACCCAGGAGGGACTCGCCGGGGGGTGGTGGCCGCAGCACCCCGCTGCCCACCATCCCCTCGGGGGTCGGGACTCACCGCGTGGCTGTGTCGGCGCAGATCAGGGGCTCCACGGGCATCGTTGCCTGCAGCCGTGCTGCCTGCAGAGAGATGGGGTCAGCGAGGGGCAAAAATGGGGACAACCTGGCAGCATTGGGGACCCCCGAGCAGCATTGGGGGCACCCCGAGCAGCAATGGAGACCCCTGGACAGCACTGGGGACCCCTGAGCAGCATTGGAGGCACCCAGACAGCACAGGAAATCCCTGAGCAGCACTGGGGACACCCTAGCAGCATTGGGGGCAGCCTGGCAGCACTGGGGACCCACGAGCAGTACTGGGGACCCTTGAGCAGCAACTGGGGACCCCCGGGCAGCGATGGGGACCCCTTAGCACCACTGGGGACCCCTGAGCAGCACTGGGGGCACCCCGGCAGCACTGGGGACCCCTGAGCAACACTGGGGACACCCCGAGCAGCACTGGGGACCCCCGAGCAACACTGGGGACCCTTGAGCAGCAACTGGGGGCC